AACGTAAGGCTGGTCACCACTCTGAGCACCGCTCCGTAAGTCACTCCAGGCAGCGGATGGGAAGCAAGGGCAGCTGACACGCTGCAGCCACATCAGACTCAACAAAGGCCACAGGCGGATTAGGAAGCCAAGGCCCGAGGGCCTTTTTTAAAGGAAAAAAATGAAGACTTAGCTTTCTCCCCATCCTTCATCCCCATTTTTTAAATGCCTACGATGCAATTGATTAGCAGGGGCTTTTCAAGCTTTCCTTAAACTTTGTTTATGTGGCATCAGCCCAGAAGACGGAAAACAGTAACTGAGTTCTCAGTTCCTCTAGTTCTAGTAACTTGTAACCTCTCTGCCTGCTGGTGAGGAAGAAGGGGGATGCGGCTGCGGCGCCCACCAACCCGCTTACACCCCACGCGAAAGCTCTTCATTTTGAGTTCATTCCACTGTTTTTCCTCTCTTCCCTGCCCCCCTTCCTTCTTACATTTATTTATTTTTATTTATTCATGGGAACACCCGATTCAGGCTTGTTTTCCGTGTAAGATTCTGGTGTTGTAGACCTTGAAAGGCTCTCAAACTCTACTATACCTAGATACGAGTTATTTTTAGATCACTCCCTTACGCAGAAGAACGTCCGGTGTTTGACTGAGGGTAGCCTCTACTTCCAAGGTATTCCAACAGCTCCCGCCCCTGCCCTCCCACCCACTTTGTTTTTGAGCTTCCAGAATTGCTAGAAGAGAGAGGAAGGAGAGAGAGAGAGAGACAGAGAAAGAGGAAAGGGGAGGGAAGAGACGTTGTGCATTTTGATATTTACCCCTGAGGCTGGAAAGGGCATTTATCTCTCCTCCTACAGAAAAGTGAAAAGGTTCTTTTTTTTTGTTTTTTGTTTTCTTTCGTCAATCCAGCTGATAAAGATTGACATAAGTAACCTGGTACAGCTGAGATTCAGTATCTCAAAAAGCTACACAGACAACAGGCACCAGAAAATGGTGTAGCCAAAGTAACTTTAACTTGTAGGGTAACTCACTAGCAAAACAAAATCATTTGGAATACTAAAATTCAGGAGGTGATATAAGAGGTCAAGGCCCCTCCGGACATACAGAAGTCTTAGAGCAAGGCACCCACACTCCTGCAGGCTGATCAGACGTTGCCGGAGTCTGGAGGTTAAGAAGGCCTCGGTCCCAATGGACCCCACAAGCGAGACTCTTTCATGCAAGAAGGCCAGGCAGTTACCCCAATAAAGTAAACAGAGTGGCTGGGAAGCTCTCTCGCTGCCCCCGCATCCTTCCTTCACTCATGCTTAGAGAGTCATTATTCTGCGTTCAGTTTTCTTTTCTCCCCATCTTTAAAAACAAATGTACACATCTCCAAAGGAGGGAATTTATTCAGATGCCCACCACAGAGTCCAGCCCTAAAGTTATTATTATCAACACCTAATGATAATAGAACACAGTCTTTACAGGCCTGCCGGGTGAGTGACCAGCCCAGCACTGCTCCCGTCTCCCCTTTGGTGATTGGCATTTTACTTGACACTGGTCACCCCTGTGTCTAATTGATTCTTGATCCAAGAGTGAGAGCCGGGGAGAAACTGCCACCCACCGGGACTGGCTTTGGAGCCAGAAAGGTCTGCGTCTGAGTCCAAGTCCTTCACTTCCAACCTTGGAGATCTGGGCAGTTGTTAACCTCTGAGGTTCAGTTTCTCTGTCTATGAACCACACCACAGGATTGTAGGTATAACACAATGTACACAAAAGGTCTGACTTGTTTCAAAATATGTCATAACTGTTCCAATTAAAGAGTTAAACCTTGTGTCTCGATGTTGATGGCAACACACACAAGAACAAAACTCGGCCTCTTAGTTTCTCTGGTTTTGACGGTTTTCTGCACCAGTAGATTTCACCCCGTCTCCATTTTCCCAGAAAGGAGGGACTTATGTAGCTTAAATGCGGTTCATCATTTTTGGTAAATCAGGAGTCAGAGTCTTAAAATGACGTGCTCGGGTTGCCTGAAGCCATCTCTAGCGGGTAGGTGTGGCCGCATCGGCAGCAGTGCCCTGTGGGTCTAGATTCTGCCCTGGTCCATCTTGGAAAAGGACATGTGTCAGCTTTCTTTCCCGTGACTGTAAAAGAATTCTAAAACTCGGCTGTGGAAGTTCATGATGATGTCCTGACTTACTTAAACGCGTAGCCACGACAAAATGGCTTTCTGTTCAATTTTAAAGACCTGGTAAAGTAGGAAGTTGAGATTAACCTCAGCCCTTTTATAGCTGAAACCTCAACAAATAAACAGTGGTTTGGTGGCATGGCAACCTGGCCCCCTTTCCCATCTGCACCCTGCTTCAGATCATTTGAGATGTCTATTTTGGGTGACTCTCAAGCACATCTCCTTCTAGATACATAGAGGCATTATTCTATATCTGTGATTTCGTACTGAAGGAGTTAAAGGGCCAGGCATGACCCTCTGATGAAATCCTAGCAAGACAGGGTGTAGCAGCCTATCAACTCGTGATCTCTCCGAGCCCGTAACTGTCGACAACTCCGCCGGGCTGTATACATCCACACATTGGTACGGCACTGCTGTAAAACTGCTCTGACTACTTTGGGGAGGTTTTGCTTCCAACTACTGCTGCCATTTCAAAGCGAGGCATAAACACATGCTGAATTTTTATATAAAGCATCTTCTTAAATATAATACAGAAGCTCTAGCGCTAAGCTGGGAAAATAACCATTTTCCTGTCCATCAAGAACAAAATGAAGGTTCTGGCTGAAAGAGACTTTACTGTTATCCTTGTTAACTTTCTAACTTCAGGGAGAAAAAACTCCCAAGGGTCTACTCAAAACAGGACGAAGGTGAAAAAGCATTTTCTTATGGAAAAAAGAAAGAAAGACTAAGGAAAAGTAGATTTACATGAAAATCTCCCAGATACTTATTTTTTAAAAGTTGTTCCTACAATTTTACAAGTGACACCCTGAACGGCAAATCATGTTTTGGAAGGAAAGAACGTCAGCGATGTAGTTAACACATTCTCTCGAGTAGCAGCTAAGCCTCCAGGGCACTCTAAAAGCAAGTTATTATTACTTAGATGTTGCAGAAGTACAAAGTTTTTAAAAGGAACAAGAAACGGGGTTAAACCTGATACTCTGCTAAGCGTACAGTATTCCAAAGAGCTGAGGAATGCCCGTCCGTGGCAGTGCCTCCGCCTGAGAGATGCTGGCTGCTGAGGACAAGAATTCAGCACCTCACCCTGCCGTTTTCTTCTTGGTAAAGAGAGTGTATCTGACCAGGAGGGAAATCAGATCTGATTCACTCTTCACCAAAACTGAAACCAAGCCGAATTCATGGTGGCGATTTCCACTTGCCCCCATGTGGTTACATTTTCCATTGCCTTTCAAAATGCTTACTATTTTTAGTTCCAATAGCAGTAGAAAAAGGCAAATCCCTTTATCAACCTAGTAGTAGAAATGGTCAGTTATGTCATGAGAGAATAAGAGAGCAGAAGTCTCCTCTTAGATGTTACAGATGGAATCCTGAAGATGACATAAATGAATGTAAATGGCCCTAAACACAAGATCCAGCCATCCCCTGGAGAATTTTATTCTATTTAGAAGAAAAGTGGCATTTTCCCCTCAAGTCCATCTCTCTCACTTAATGTGCCGTTTCATCTAATTTCTCATACACACTTGCATTTTGGAATTAAAAAAAAAATCTATATGCATATTTTGAATAAGTATGCAATGATTGAGCACCAGGACACCAATGGTTTCATGGGACCTCTTCTTAAATACACCTAAGATGAAACTGTAGTTGAGAGGCAGCCCCCCAAAATCAAGCTGAGGTTTCTGTGGTCCACAAAAGGGCGACTCTACAGAGAGGCCACTTAACAGCTGTCTGCATAGTATCTTATGGGAGGAGTTCTCTGGGAATTTCCCCCGCAAATAAAAATAACTTCCCCCAGAATCATGACTGTGAGAGTGAATGGCATGGACCATCGGGCTCTGAGAAAGAGGGTGGGTGTGACTTTAAGGGCCCCACATGTGCTAATCCCAAAAGAAACCTACGGGCTGGAAACCCTAAAGGACTTAGGATGCTTGCACATCTCACAATACAACTCAAACAGAGAAAACACCCGGGAAAGCTAATTTCTGCTGTCCCAGAAGGGCAAGGAGCATTCCCCTTGCTGGCCACCTGCCCTTTCCCCCAGATGTGTTGCTTATCTCTTCCTTCGAGTTAAACAAGCCTGACCCTTTGAGAAAGGAATCTTACTGTGACCCTACCATACACAGCTGTGTCCTGCACAGCACCGAGAAAACGACTGCCTTTCGGAAATTTGACATGGTATCACAGAGCAAATAATCATTGACGTCAGTGCTTTCTACAGTGTAAATGAACTCTGTGTATTATCTAATTTGGCACAGTGGGTTTTATGCAATTACTGTATTTTACAGTGTTTTTGCAATTGCCAGCTAACCCCACGGTGGGAGGGGGGATAACCCGCCTTCTTTATTGATTGCAGGCTTACGAATTGCAATGAATACCCTCGATGGGGTGGCGTCCAGACACTCTTCCTATTTCTTTACATTTGCCAAAGCACGTATAGTAAATACAAACCCCTCAAGTAATCAGTAAGAACTTGAAACATCCTGACCTTCACCTGGCCTGATGTATGTGTATGTGTGTGTGTGTGTGTGTGTGTGTCTTCAAGCCAAGGAGGTAAGAAAATAACCTAGCCAAAGATAAGCTTAAAAAATTCGAGATCTGATCTACACAGCGATACGTATCTGTCCATATCCTCTCCATACCCTCTGTAGCAGTGCCTTTCAATCTGGGGTCTTGTTACCACGCAGATCAGACTCAGCGGGTCTGGGGCGGGCCGAAGACTCTGCTGTTAACAAGCTGCCAGGCTGCTGGTCCGGGGACCAGCCGTTTCTGAGTGCGGACGAGGAGCCACAACCGGCCTGGGTGGGTTCCGCCCAAGGGTGAGGCGGGAAGCGGGCTCTGTCCGTCCGGGTACTTACCCTGCATCTGACTCTGAGGCTGAGGGTTAAAGGCAGTGGAGTGGTTCAAGGAGGCCCGAGGGTTGGGTGTAGGGGCCGGATGGTGTGGGCTGACCCTCATGGCCGTGCGCCGCAGCTGCTCCAGTTCACTGAGCCGCTCGGAAAAGGACAAGCTCCCGGGCTTGGTCTGATCATCTAGTTTCTGACGATGTCCTATTGCGGGGAGGGGGTGGGGAGGGGAGAGGGAGGCAAGAGATCAGAAAAGGTACCGTGGATTTGCTGAAACTCGGGCTTTTCTCGTCTTTCCCCTCCCTCTCCCCTCACCCCCAGCGTGGGTCTGCTGGAGATCCGCACACTTAGCTGCTCCCGGGGTCGGGGGGGGGGGGGGGTTCGGGGCCGCTGTCCCCACGGCAGACTGGGGCCCCTTCTGTCACACTGGCCGCTGGGCGCTCCGCCCAGACTGGGTCCCAGCACCCAGCCCAACCCTCTGTGCCCGTCTCCACTGGGCGGGATGCGGTGGGCACGCGGGGCTTGGTGGCGGTGGCGGCATGGAGGGAAGGGGCATTCGCTGTTGGCACTTGGCCAGGAAAGGAGCCCTGCCAGTGGCATCGGAACAGCTGCCCCAGCTGCACACCCAACCCCGGGCAGGTTTCAGAGGCAGCAATGTGGGCCCTGGAGCTTAGAGGCGCGCCCCTTCTAACAGGAAGCGAGGTGTGGCTGCAAGCCCACAGCCCTGGGAGGTCAGATTTCCTGTTAAGTGCAGGGCACGGGTGGCCCCTCTCCTCTGCTAGCAAGCTTTGCATGAGCATCCTTTCTTCCCTGAAGCCGACTTCCCCAGCTTCGGCCTTGTCCAGTCCAAGACTCCCAGCAGGCCGGGCCCACTGGAGCCCAAAGGGAGCCGCCAGCAGGTTGGCCGGGCTTCCCCAGGGGGCTCAGGGATCCGGGGTGGGGAGTCGGGCCCCTCAGCATCTGTAGACACAGCAAGTGTCCTCGCCTCGCTCCTGGTCTAAATTGCTATCACCGGGCTGCAGCGGGCAGAGGCCATTCACTCAAGAAGGGCCAGGGGGGTTGGGCCTTAATCCTTCATCAAAATGTCTTTACACCAGAGACTCAGGCGTGTCAAGCAGAGCTGAGGCTCCCAGGTACTGATGTAACCACGGGGGGGGGGGGGGGGGGTGGAGTCATTCCTCTTTCAGAGTGGCTGCCCTCCTCCTCCTTACTTTGAACCAGGATGGTTCGAAGAGTCACTGACCAATTTCACAAAACCCTCGCCGGATTGTCAAGTGGCCTCAAACCAAGATTGGAGAAGCAGCCTCCTTGCTGCCACGCTCAAGTGCCCTTTCGCACACCCGACCCAGTCCTCAGTGAGGAAGAAGATCCCTTGATTCCATGCCCCCCAGCCCGGCGTGGGAGTCGGGGTGGGAGACGTATATTTTAGCCCAGCTCCCGCTGCTACGATTATAAAATTAAAATTTATAACTTGTATTATGGTTCCAAATCTCCGTGGTTTGCCGTTTCTTCCTGCTGCCAGGCCCCATGGCACAGTTGACACTGTCTCAAATTCCAGACCAGAAAAAGGACGCACTATATTGCAGTGATTTTATCATGAACAAGACCTGTTTTGGCTCCGAGATGAGGAAAAATACTTAAGCATAATATTTGTGTAGTTCAAATGCAACGCTCCCTCTTTTCATGTGTCACCAAGGCAAATCTGGACTCTGATTCAGCCCCACAGCCCACAGTACTCGGTCTGAACACAAGGCAGCCTGAGTCACGCGGGCCCAGCACACATGTGAGAGGCCTCTTACCCGCTGAGTATTTTAAGCACCGGCCTTGTGGGCGAAAGGCCATGGGGCCAGGTCCCGGAACAACCCCTATCGTCCCTTTCCCTCAGAAGTACGAAAACATCTTTTTCTAGAACATTCTATTTCGGTCCACCATGGACTCATCTGTGGTCCCTGGATGGAGCTTCCCTTGACTCCTCCTTCCTCTTATCTCTGTGATACATTCTCGGCTTCCCGATGGCTAGACTGAAAAATCTGAAGTTTTCTCGTAGAAGAGCAAACAATGCCAACTCAAAAGCCATCCCAGGCGTAGTAATTCAGCCCTTTAAATGCCTACCATGACCTGGTGTTAGGGGTCAAGCAGGGAAGGAGGCAGGACAAATGATTCTGGAAAGTTCTACCTCCTCAGAAAGAATGCCGGTTGGCAAAGCTTTGGAGTCTCCGGCCAGCCTTTGAAGAGAGGCCTTCCATTGTGTCTGCCTCAGTCACCAATCTTGAGTGCCATCACACACCACCAAGAAACCAAACGGGAATAAGTCATTGCAGGTGACAGCCACTACTGCGGCCAGGAGCAACGTGAGATTACTTTTTCTTTACGAGACCCCTCTCATTGCCCTATGCTTAAAAAAAAAATAAAAGAAAGCTTTCAACACGTGAGCAACTTCTGCACCAGCTGACACCTGCCAAAGCCGTAGTCATTTACAGAGATTAACTGATGACTGTCTGCTCCACTAGGAATGTTCGGGCATAGCTCTCAGAGAAAACAATTCTTCACTCTAAGCTATTTCTTAAGCCCTGAGAGTTGCAGGGCTGAGTTTAATGCTGGAGGAGGGGATGAGAGTTCATCTCACACCCTCCCCGTGCTGTGATCCACAGAGTAAGTAAGAGCGTTACTGCCCTCCCAAGGAACCCTGGGCCCCTTCCTCACTACTAGTGCTAGAGAGCTGTAACACCAAGGCACGGGGGAAATAAAAAGCATTATCATATTAAAGGTGTGGTTCTGATGTGTTTATAAGCTAGATCAAAGGAAGACCTCATTCCTCTTTTCTGAAACCATCAGATTTCGTGCGCCAAAGAGCAATGTTTTGCGTGAAACGTAGAAGCTTCTGATATAAACTTTCAAGCTGGGGGAAATGAGTGCGTTATGTCTCCAGTTTCCTGTATCTGTGTGCGATTAGCCCCCTGAATTTTAAATACAGGAGTATGGAAAATGTCCACGATCAAGTTCACTTTTCTTCTTTCTTACTGACTACTGGGCCTCAGAGGGCAATAGGGAATTCAACCCCGGTGGTAGAATTACGCAATGAAGCCTCAAACACGTGCATGCTGGCAGCCTGGCTTTTTGAACACGTTGGAAGTCAGCTGTGTATGTCTACGTGGTGGTCCTGAAAATAGTGGCTACCTCAAGATTTCACACTGGGACATCTTACTGAATCTTTAGCAGAGTTGAAAGAGATCCGAAACTACGTTTCTCTATTACTATTTTCACATTTTCCAAAAAGTACTTGATTAGAATTTTATATATATGCAAAACTATACGAAGCCAAAAGAACAAAAAAAGAATAAAAACAAACTAATCCCATCTGCTCAATTTTACGTCTTCATTCCAAAGACATATGTCCTGCCGTCTTCTGGAATGGGTGCCCAACGGGTATCCCTAAATGTTAGGATATTTGTGATGGATAATGAGACCAGCTTTCAGTTTTCTGCTATAAGAACTATAGGCTGAGTAGGTATATGCATATTTCACTGACAAATGAAGTGCTTTTTCAAAGAAACATTGTTGATCTGTGGCTGTAAGTAACTGCCATACAACACAGATCATCCTTGAATTACAATTGGGTAATGTCCCAATAAATCCATCCTCAACTGAAAACATCATAGGCTGAAAATACATTTAAAATACTTAACCCACCGAACAAATTAGCTTAGCCTAGCCTACCTTAAACGTTCTCAGCACATTTACATTAGCCTACAGTTGGGCAAAATCATCTAACACAAAGCCCATTTTGTAATGAAGTGTTGACCGTCTCAAGTCATTTATTGAGTACTGTACTGAAAGTGAAAAACAGAATTGTTGTCTGAGCACAGAATGGTTAAGTGTATCAGTTGTTGATCCTTGAGATGGCATGGCTGATCACACAAGCATCACACCACACATCAACGGCCCAGGAAAAGAGCAAAGTTCACAATTTGAAGTGTGGTTTCTACCGAATATGTGTCGCTTTCACACCATCATAAAGTCGAAAAATTGTAAGTAGAACCATCCTAAGTCAGGGACTATCTGTATATGATTTTCTATGAAAGAAAACAGATGAGGCTAAGTTGTTACCTTTACTTGGCAAGTTCTGGGTAGAGAGAATCATTTCCTGACAATCAAAATGCTTGTCCATGTTTCTGATACGAGTTTAGTAGTTTTCTTGAAAGATTCTCCGCAGAAATATTAGAAAAGGCATATACTCAAAGCAGTGTCATGATGAGCAGTTGAAAAAAATTGATGCAAAATGATGAGACCAAAAGGATATCTGTCTATATGTGTGTGTATATAGATCTCTATCTCCTTCCTTCCATCCATCTGTCTCACTGTGATTCTTCCAAAAGGATATAGGTTTTTCAAAAGATGTTTGCCAGTCAATCTGATACTAACGAACATATATCTGTGTATAAGAACATTGACATTTCCTTCTTTAATTTGCTATTCTTTATGACTAGGGAAAAGAAACCAACACGTGTAGAGAACAGCTCATTTTTCCTGTTTAACACTCTACCCCAGTAACACTCTGGGGTCATCAAAGTCATTAGGACTTTAAAGCACTGGTACTGAACATGTATGTGATCCTTCCTCAAAGTACCTTGAAGGCGGTGAAATAAAGCTTCCTAGGACTTCCCTGGTGGCACAGTGGTTAAGAACTGGCTGCCAATGCAGGGGACACGAGTTCAAGCCCTGGTCCGGGAAGATCCCACATGCTGCGGAGCAACTAAGCCCGTGTGATGCAACTACTGAGCCTGTGCTCTACAGCCCGCGAGCCACAACTACTGAGCCCACGTGCCACAAGTAGTTAAGCCCACGTGCCTAGAGCCCATGCGCCGCAGCAAGAGAAGCCACCGCAGTGAGAAGCCTGCGCACCACAAAGAAGAGTAGCCCCCACTCGCCGCAACTAGAGAAAGCCTGCACGCAGCAACGAAGACCCAACACAGCCAAAAATAAATTTAAAATAAATAAATTTATTTTTTAAAAAAACCCTTCCTAACTGCAAACCTGTCCATCTGCTGGCTAATTAAATGTTGGGAAATACGGTCTCATATTATATATTGTGTATAGATGATATCTACATAGATTTATACATATAACTGTATACATAGATTATATATAGATTTATATACCTTATATACACAATATATAATGTGATATAAAATATATACTGATAT